TCTTCCAAACCGCTTTTTTTTCTGGTGGGGGCAGAGGTGGGGGTGGGGAGAGGAGAATGTGTCATACCTGGTGATGCTCAGGGGTTACTCCTGGCTCTGCATTCAGGAATTACTTCTGAAGGTACTGGGGGACCCATATGGGATGCCAGGGATCAAACCCAGGTCAGTTGCGTGAAGGCAAACGCCCTACCCACTGTACTATTGCTCCGCCCCTCCCTCCACCAAACAGCTTCTCGAGTGAAGGAAATGTTTATGAAAACCCCATCTCGTACCCCTCATCCCTACATTCTCCAGGAGAATAAACTCAGAAAGTAATCCAAATCTATACAAAGTTATCTTCTCTGCTATATCTTCAGTATCTACCCACTCCTCAGCTCTACCACCACTGAACTCCCTCACCATCTCTCACCAAACTCAAGGCACAGCTTCCCAATTGCTCCAGAACTTTCTGAAGAAATAGGCTGGAAGGGGACCAAGAAATAGTACAGCAGGAAGGGTGCCTGCCTTGTACATGGCCAACCTGGGTTGGATCCCCAGAATCACACGATTCTTTGAGCCCTACCAGGAGTGAGTGGAGAGTCAGGGGTAAATCCTGAGCTCAGCTGGATGTGATCCAAAAACAAAAAACAAAGAGAAATTAGTTGGCTGTTATACTCAGCCTCTTTAAAAACCTTACTTTCTTTGAAGTTGTTCATGCTCCTAATAAGACACTAAATGCTCTACATCCCAGCCACATTTCTCCTTGCTTGGTCACAACCAGTAACATACTGTGTTCTAAATGCTCTCAACCTTTCTTGTGCTATCTAGAGTGCTCGGCAACATCCTGACCTATACCCATTAGATGCCAGTAGCAAATCTGCAGCGTGAAAACCAAAATATCTCCACAGAGGCTTGTTTGAAAAGCCCTGATCTAGAACAACTGCAAAGTTCATCTTCACAACCACTGCAATCATAAAGTATCACCTGGAGAGCATTCCTAGACTATACTTAGAGATAGGTCTGCAGTGCGCCTCCAGCAACAGTGCAGGACTTTACCACCTGCTCCTGGCTTCATTATTATACTATCCTCCCTTCATCTTCTCTTCCAACTAACATTTCATCCAGTTGCCATATGGATAGGAAGTCTCCAAATCCTTTCCAGAGTGAGACAGGGAAGGAAACATACAATCCAATCACAGGTTATTGGAGGGGGCAGGGAGACCCTATGATGACACTACACAAACCATAAAGCAATGTGATTAGTAAAGTATTACTGAAAAATTGCCAAACACCTTTTTACAATATTAGCATCAAAGTGTGAGCAAGAGACAAAAGGGTGAAGAGCCCTTTTAGTCCTCTAAAAGGAATCAGATAGTACAGGATATGGAATTTGCCTTGCCTGCAGACAACCTGGGTTCAATCCCTGGCATCACATGATTTCCCAAGCCCTACCAGGACTGGTCCCCTATTAGAGACAAGGGTGGGTCCTGAGCATAGTCAAGTATAGGCCCCCAAAGTCAAAACAAACACAAAAACATACAAATTACATTTTTCTATCACCGGAAGTTCCTATCAATTTAATTTTCTGATCACTATAGGTTTATAAAAACAACTCAGAGATAAATTTATTTCAGCAGTCTAAAATAAAATTAAATGTAAAAAGAGTAGTGTGGCAGGCTAGAGAAGACAGTATTTGCCCTGCAAGAGGCCTACCCAGGTCAATCCCAGGCGCAGAATGGAGTGATCCCTGAGCACAGAGCTAGGAGTAAGTCCTGGGCACCACCGGGTGTGGGCCCAAAACAAAACAAAATGGTATTGGGGCTAGAAAGATAGTACCACGGTGCTGTGGCCAACCTAGGATCAAATTCAGGAGTAAGCTCTGAGCAGAGTAGAGTGTGACCCCAAACCTCTCCCCACACCCCTGATAATACTGTATCTAAGGACAGAGTAAAACACATATGCAGTGGCTGACAATAACTTCTATGTAAGTGATGAACTCTTTTTAAATTCCCAGAAATGGAGTCAAAATAGTCTGCTTCCCTGTTCAAGGCTCATTTCACTATGAAGACAACTTCAATACTTATTAACTTACTGATCATCTTAGAGCAGGGATTCTCAATCAAGTGCAGTTTTGGCCATCAGGAGATACTGGTAATGTCTGAGGATATTTCTGGTTGCCACAATTAAAAGCATGTGGGGGGGTGCTACTGCATTCTAGTAGGCAGAGGCCAGGAATACCACATTCTTACAACGTAAGTAATGATCCCAACAATTCTGAACCCCAATATGTCAGCAAGGCCAAGGTAGAAAAATACTACTTTATTTTAGGTTTTGGGCCACACCCAGCAGTGCAGGGAGGTGTGGGAAGGAAGGCTATTTCAGATTCAGTGCTTGGGTACTCAGGGGACCATGTTGTACCAGGGATTAAAGCTTATCTCAAAATTAGAAATCACATTCCAAAATACAGGAAACTTGAAGGAGAGACTATACATACAAACTGATTAAGAAAAGCATTTGAAAAAGAAAATTTAGGCCAGGAATGTGGCTTAGTGGTAGAGTAGAGGCCTCACCTGTATGAGGTTCTGGGTTCAATGTCTTAGATGACAAAATAAGAAAAATTCTTCGGCTCTCTACTTACAAAGCAAACTAAATCAATGTCCCTCTTTCTCACCATGGTACCCTTCCAACTGTTTCCTTCCTGTACCTCCAACCCAACCTGCCATTTGCAATGTTTCACCTGTAGCCCCTTAAAAATGTCCTGGTAGCCTAAAGGCGGCCACATGGTCCATGACTGAAAATTGCTGTACTAGATCATGATAGTATTTTCTATTCCTGATGCACCGTTAATTTAAAATTGCTGAACATACTCAGTTTTGCAGGGAAAGATATGCCTACTACTTAGGGCATTGTTCCTACCCATCCAAACAGGAGGAACAGAACTGTAAAACTTGTGTTTTTTTGTATATTACAGCTATCTTGCCTGTTTTAGACAACGTTAACTATATACCCATTACGTGAAAGGCAGTGCTAGGTGAAACAGGGAACATAAAGAGAAGTGAGTCAAGTGCACATGGGATATACACGAAAAGAACAGAGCAGGGGCCAGAGAGTACAGTGGTTAAGGTGCTCGCCTTGCACACTGCTGACATGAGTCAGACACTAAATGATCCCCTGAGCCTCTCCAGGAGTGATTCCTAAATGAACGAACGGCCAGAAGTAAGCTCTGCGCGCTGCCATGTGGGGCCTGAAACCCAAAAGTAAAAGGACAGGGCAAATCCAGTGAAGTAACTAAAAAGTACTGGTCACGGTCACGGTCCTCCCGTTGTTCATCGATTTGCTTGAGGGGGCCCAGTAACGTCTCCATCGTGAGACTTGTTGTTACCGTGTTTGGCATATTGAATACGTCACGGGTAGCTTGCCAGGCTTTGCCGTGCAGGCGAGATACTCTCGGTAGCTTGCCAGGCTCTCCGAGAGGGGCGAGGAATCGAACCCGGCTCGCCCAGCCCGCTGCGTGCAAGGCAAACACCCTACCGCTGTGCTAAAAGACTACCGCACCTGAACCCTAAAAAATGTGAAAGATGTCACCTAAAAAGATGAAAAAGGGGGCTGGAGAGATGGTACAGCAGGTAGGCTGCCTTGCACGCAGCCAAGTCAAGTTCAATCCCCAGTATTCCATATGATCCCGTGAGCCCTGCCAGGAGTAATTTCTGAGTGCTGAGCCAGGAGTAAGGTAAAGGTAAAGGTAAAGGCCCTCCCGTTGATCGTCGATTTGCTCGAGCGGGCCCAGTAACGTCTCCATTGGAGACTTTGTTGTTACTGTGTCTGGCATATCGAATACTCTCGGTAGCTTGCCGGGCTCTCCGAGAGGGGCGGAGGAATCGAACTCGGGTCGGCCATGCTGGCCGCTTGTAAGGCGAACGCCCTACCGCTGTGCTATCACTCCAGCCCAGGAGTAATCCTTGAGCATCTCCAGGTGTGGCCCCAAAAATATTTCTTAATTTTAAAAAAAAGATGAAAGGAGAGAACACTTTTGACTGGAAGAGCATAACAGATGCACACTTCAGTTGAGTTTCAGTTCAAGTTCAAAACCCGGATCAAGTTCTAAACTAAAACGCTGCATGTATTTAAAAAAAAAAAAAAGCACCTAAGCATCGCATCCATTTGCTCTAACAAAAACTGTAGCTCCCTCTAGTCGCATCGCAAAGTCGAAATGAGGAACAGGATCAGGGTGACCTTTTGCCTATCAGCATTCAGAGAAAGGCCAGGATCGGGGCTATCGGCTCGCCGTGCCCGAGTGTCGTCCGCAGGCTGATGGGGGTTCGCTCCCTCACCTCCTGGGGGAGCACAGACCAACTCCTGCAGGAGCTGTGCCAGCAACGTCGTACTACGACAAGACTGCTGGGTCCCCTGCTCAGCCAGGACAGAAAGAATCCATTTCTCTGGCGTGTGCTTGGGGCCACTGCCACCGAGCGGAGAAAGCCCTTCTCCGAGGAGACACTTGTGCCCTGTCAGTCTCCACCCCCATCACCCTGACGCCCCAGCTCTGGGCAAAGGCGAGTCCTCTGGCAGGGGCAGCCACCAGACTCGCGGGCCGTATTTCTCCAAGTAGGGGCCCTGTCACCGGATCCAGGCCGTGACAGGGGCAGGGGCGGTTCGAGCCACGTCGACCGCAGGTGTCCACCGCCCGGAGATCGGAAGGGGCATCGACCAGTCCGACACATCTGCTGGCCTTCCGCCGGCGCGGAAGAGCGGCCGGAGGCGGCTGACGCTCGGGGCGGCTCCTCGCGCGGGCCCCCGGCCCCTCGCGGACCCCGGGGGGGTGCCGGGGCGGCGGCGGGCTCCCACGCGCCCCGGTGGAGCACGTGCCCGGCTCGCCGGCTCCCGGCGTGGGGGCCAAAGTTCGCTCGCACCGGCTCCGCGCGTCGGGCAGTGGGCGTCAGGGCCCGCGCACGGCTCCCACCCGACTCCGGACCCCGGGCCCGACCCCCGGCGCGGCGGCCCGCGACCCCGCGCGCACTCACCATTGTGGTTGACCCAGGTCGGCTTCAGGAGCTTCATTGTTCGGCCGCCGCCGCCGTCGCCGCCGCCGCCGCCGGGCTGAGGCGAGAGCCGGGTCCCTCAGCGCGCCCGGGCCATGGAGCCACCGCTGCAGCTTCCTCCCGCGCCGCCCGCCCTCGGCTGCCGCCCACCCCGCGCCCTCAGCGCCGCCTCGCCATCGCCGGCCCGCGCCCCCCGCCGCCGCCGCCGCCACAGTCGCCCCCCGCGCTCGGCCGCCGCCGCCGCCGCCACAGCCGCATCCCCTGCGCCGCTCCTCCTCCGGCGGCTCCCGGGCAACGCCGGAAGTCACGGCGCGCACCTGCCAAATCGCCCCGGCGGGAAACTGCTCCCTTCGCGGACTGGGCCGCCCGCGCTCCTCCGCGGAGGCAGGGCCCGCACTGGGCCGCCCTGCCCGGGAGCCCGGCGCCCCGCGCCGACGCGGGCTAGAGCCGGCCGCGGTCGCCGCGAGCCAGAGGCGACCGGGGATGGCAGGCGGGGCCCGCTGAAGGTGGCGCGCCCGGCCTTTCGCGAGCGCTCCCCCGTCCGCTCCGAGTCCCACTCATTAGCTTCCGTCACTCATCGACTGGTGTTCATTGGGCATCGCGCGCGCGAGCGCCGGGCCACGTGCCCACTTCGGGACGCAGCCGGCAGCAGCCGCCTCCCCGGGCTCTCGAGGGAAAGCGAGGAAGCGGCTCGGCCACGGGAAGGGTCGCCCGGGAAGCCGAGGCTACAAGGACATTGGGAAGCCAGGGTCCACGTGCACGGACGTGCGCCCTTCTGTCCGTGACACGGAGGGGCAGAGGACACTCCTCAAGTTACACTGCGAGGGCTGAGCCTACAAAGGGATGCACGGCGGTGCGGACCAATACGGAGACTGATTCCGGGTGGGCTCGCAGGCGCGCGGAGGCGGAAGGGCGGCTCGGAGCGGCGCGAGGTGTGAGGCGCCCAGGGCGTGTCCGCGGCCCGCTGGGACGCCGGGGGCGGGGCCAGGCGGGCCTGCCCTCCGCGGCCGGAACCCGCGAGCCCGGGACGGCGTGACCGGCGGGCCTCTGCGCGCGGAACCGTGGGCCCGACCTCCGGAGGCCGCGCGCCCGGAAGCAGCTGGTCGTCTGCCAGAGGGGCCATGGCCGCCGCCGTGCTGGGAGCTTCCGCTCGCGCCCTGCGCCCGCGGAGCTGGTGAGTGCGGACGCCGAGTGGGTCGCAGGTGCCCGGTGCGCGCGCCGGCCCCATCTAGCCCCGCGCTCCGGCCGCCCGTCTGCCGACGGAGCTCAGAGACCGAGCCTGACCCGGTGAGGAAAGTACGAGGACCCTGACGAGGAGGGAGCCCAGGTGTTCTCTGAGGCGATGCTGGTTTTGAACCGTCTCCCATGTTGACCTTGCTGTCACCCGCGGGCGTTGCAGCCTCAGGCTTTGAGGGCATCTAGAATTGCTTCCCCCTCCCCCATTTCCAGTTTAGTGCATCCCCTCTTTGGACTTCTTGTCTCTTTCAGGCTCATGGGAACTTGGCAAACGCAGGCTAGAGACGCCCATCAGCGAGCCTCACTGTTGTCTTTCTGGGACCTCATTCCCATGAGGTAAACTCAACCACGGAAGGCGGCGAGTGGAAATTGCACGTGTACACTAATAGATGAAAGCAAGACCGCGCAGCATTTGGTTTGCGAAATTAACGACCCCTTTCAAGGGTTCTCACTCTAATTCCGGCAGATGTTTCCTCGTCTTCTTAACATTTTCCATATGTTAAATAGCGCTGTCTGCGATGGGAGGGGGGGGCTGGAATTAAATGTGAAATTCACTTGATCACTTGATACCCCATTACTCATCGATTTAAGGGAGCGGGTGCCAGTAGCATCTCCATTCATCCATATTGCGTGCTAGCGTAGCCCAGTGGCATCTGCTCGTTCTAGGAACATGCAGAGCCTCAAACCGATCATTCAGGGTCTTGACGAATGTGAAATTCACTTAAATAAAATTTAATTATCTGTGAAGGAATTCTTGTGTGTTTACAAGGGATCAACATGAACTTTTGCCTTCACTACAGTGCTTTTCATTTCTGAGTACCTGGAGAGGTAAAGGGCTGGGTTGAGGTTTGGTTTTACCACTACTTGAGACTGTTTTTGCTTGGGGGCCACACCTGTCCCTTCGTCCTCCTTTTGGTCTCAATACTTTCTAGGGACTTGATTCACAGGTCAGTATTGTTTCTTGAAGATTTTGTTTTTCTTGTTCTAGATTTTTGTTATGGGAGATGTGCTCCTACATAGCAGTCCTTTGTCAGTACTCTAGGATCAGGAATTTGTTGGGTCCTAAAAAGGGCTGGGAATATGGTTGCAGGAGCCCCAGTAGTGGAAGATTAAAGAGTACAAATGAGCTTCTAATTCTTCACTTTGTTATTTTCACTTTTCACCAGGATCCCAAAGCATTTATGAACTCTAGTATGCCAAAAACAGTAAAAACAAGTCTCACAATTTGTTGTGAGACATTACTGGTGTCCGCTTGAGCAAATCGATGAATAACAGGAGGACAGTGCTACAGTGCAGTACTAAAGTGTTTTTCCACCTTGTTTGTTTTTGGTTTGGGGACTACACCTGGTGGTACTCAGACCTAACGCCTGGCCCTCTGCTCAGGGGACCATATGTGGTGCCTACCATCTAACCCAGGTCAGCAACATACAGAGCTAACGCCTTACCCACTGTACTCCCACCCTTTTCTTATGTGATATGCTCAAGTGGTTCTTATAAAGATCATGGGTGAAGGCCCTCACTCTGACGTCATGAAGTCAAGACCAAGCACACCTTCTTTCTTAATGAAGAATTTAGTACAAGTTTGGGGTGCTTCACCTTACTGTCATGTCTCCTCATGGTTGTAAGATAAAGAGGAAAATGTTTAATATTTACTTTCTCCATTAGGGCAGAACCACTGAAAAAGAAGAAGAAGGTAGATCCTAAAAAAGATCAAGCAGCAAAGGACCGTTTGAAGAAAAGAATCCGACGTCTGGAAAAGGCTAGCCAGGAACTGATTCCTATTGAAGACTTTATTACTCCTGTGAGGTTCTTGGATAAAGAGAGGTAAGAGTACTGTCCTTGAGGTACTCAGGATGAAGAGTTTCATCATGCCTGAGCTCTCTTCTTGTGTGTTGTGGTAGTTGGGGAATAATTGGGCTCAGGATGTCAGTGGTAAAACTCAGACCTTGCAAGCATGAGATCTGGGTTCAAGCCCTGGCACCAGGGAACAGAAAAATATACCCATTTTTCATAAGCCAGGCCAGATACTTGAGTTCAGATCAGCATTGTTCAGTATTTATTTTGGTACAGAACAGTCTTTCCTGATGGTAGAATACCCTTAGTCTCTTGGGGACTGGAGTGATAGTATAGCAGCTAGGGCACTTGTGTTGCAATGAAGCTGGCCCAGGTTTGATCCCCCACATCCCATATGTTCCACTGAGCATGGACGGAACTGATTCCTGAGCGCAGCAGAGCCTGGAGTAACCTCTGAGCATCACTGGGCTTTGGTCCAAAAAGAAAAGAAAACAAAACAAAATCCTTCATCTCTTGCTTTGTGATACAAAAGTAGGCATCTGTATTTTCAGGGCTGGTAGGGTTGATTCCTTGAACTTGCATACTATTTTAATTTTTTTTTTTGATTTCTTTTGTGGGTTGAAGGAAAATAGTTTTATTTAAAGAAATTTACTTAGAGAAATGTGAAGGGAAAGAAAGGGAGGTATGTTCAAGAGAGAGCAAAGGTTTTTCCTCAGTAGGAAAAGTGAGAGCACATTTCTTAGGTCACGATGCAGGCCAAGCTTCAAGGGTAGAGAATGAGCCCTGTGTACTATTTTATTTTTATTTTTTATTTGTGGGGAGCAAAGGTGGGGGGGGACTTTCGGCCATACTCAGTGGAGCTCAAGTTTTACAGTTTCTTTTTCTCTCTCTTTTTTTTTGGGCGGGGGGGGGGGGAGAGGGGGGTCACACGCAGCTATGCTCAGGGGTTACTCCTGGCTCTGCACTCAGGAATCACTCCTGGCTCTGCTCAGTGGATCATACGGGATGCCAGGGATTGAACCGGGGTTGTCTGCATGCAAGGCAAACTCCCTACCCTCTGTACTATCACTCCGACCCTAGGTTTTACAGTCTTACTGACTCTGCACTCAGGGATCATATGGAATGCCAGGGGTCTAACCCGGTTCAGCTGTGTGTAAGGCAAATGCTCTACTAGCTCTACCCTTCAGACCCCAGTTTGCTCTTCTAAAGTAACTCTGGAACTGGGGACGTGCAGGGTTTTTTTGTTTTGTTTTGTTTTTTTGTACTTTGGGGTCTGCACATTTTGGTTGTGAATGTGCCGACTACCTGGCATTTTGGTGGTCATTTTCATTTCACCTTTTCCCAAAGTCATAAAGTCATCTCTCACCTGAAGATCTCTACCTGGAGCAGATATGCTACTAGTATTCTCAGAACATTACCATTTTTCAGTTTGTTTGTTTGTGCCATGCTCAACAATGCTCAGGAGTTACTCCTGGTTCTCTCAGGAATCACTCCTGGCAGTACCGGGGAGGCGGGGCGGACAGCATATGGATCCCAGGGATTGAACCCTGGTTGATTACATGCAAGGCATATACTCTACCTGCCATGCTATCTTTCTGATCCACCTTTTTTTTTTAAGCTTGGAGTATAGATGGCACTGGTTCCCAGGATGTTACAACTGCCATCACATTCAGCATTCCTTTTGGGGGATGTGAGGGTTGGGATGCAGGGAGGTGAGGTACACCTGGCAGTGCTCAGGAGTTACTCTTGGCTCTGAACCCAGAAATTACTCCTGGTGGGCTCAGGGAACTATGTGGGATGCCGGGTATTGAACCTAGGTCAACTTCATGTAAGACAAATGCCCTACCTACTATACTATCGCCCCAGCCCGACAACATTACATTTCTAATTTTAATTTGGTGAGGGAGAGGTTTAGGATTACTACTGGCGATGCTCAGGGGATTGTATGTATTGCCAGGATTGAACTCAGGTTTGCCATATGCTTGGAAAGTAAATTAACCCCTATATTACCTCTCTAGCCCCAGCATTCTTTAATTTGTTCTAAATTTCCATTTTCTCCCTTTTTGGAGGGGGGACTCCCAGAGAGCACACAGGAGGCCCAGGGGCCATTCCTTGCATCAGTAAACT